ATATCCCTATGTTCAATAAGTATTGAAAATCACCTCCTTTAAGAATATTAGGGGGCGAGAAATACTACCTATCCAATGATTTTTATCAAAAAGTTAAAAACCCTGCCACTCTAGTGACAAAAGTCCACTTATTACCTCAAGTTGATGTACAACACCTTCAAAGCTAAAGTTAAGATATTTATTTTTCCTGAATATTTATCACGCTAAGAAATGATAACAGAAACAAATGTGAGGCGGGGGCGCTGACTGGCTGTCTGAGGGGGGGGGGGGGGGGCTGGCTGTTTGATCGCGAGGCGAGCCTATTTCTCGGTTGGCTGCCAGTATGCCAACACAAACCAGCAACCGGCGAGAAAATTTCGGAGCTGACAAGTGAATTCAAAAAGTGATAGAAGACATCAAATTCTCTTTGCTAAGCTGAGGAAAGCCCCTTGAAGATGAGCTAGTCCCAGTGAACACACATTTTAGTGTGATGAGCAAATAAGACGATTTTCCTCCAATTTTGTTTTATAACATATCAGGAAGACGTTTCTTGGTGCCGCCTGCAAATATAGATAAGCTATGATAGCTCAGGGCCTAGTCTAGCGGAGGAGACTGTTTTATGAGTTTGAGATAAAGAATGTAAAAATTAAATTTACAAAAATAGAAATGCTTGGTTAATGATCGTCATGCACAAAGCGCTGTTTTTGAATGAATTGGTTTATGTCTCTGACATCTTTGAGGTTGTCTCGATTCATTCTACGCCTCCATTCTCACAACTATCCTTAATGTTATACATGTATATCAGCCACTATCTCTCTTTCTCTCCCCCCTCTACCCTATCTCTCTCTCTCTCTCTCTCTCTCTCCCTCTCTTTCTCCCTCATTCTTTTTCTCTCTCTCTCTCTCTCTCTCTCTCTTTCTCCCCTCTTTCTTTCTCTTTCTTCCTCCATCCCACTCTGTCTCTGTATCTACACGGCTCTTTATCTACTGTCCTTTTCCCCTCTACTTCTTGCAATAATCGCCTTAGCATAAAAATTACCGATTTTTGTTTTGTCTCGAAAAAAGGCCAGGAAACAAACAAACAACAATCAAAATTTCATTTTAAAAAAGATGAAGAAAGACGAAATCTGAATTGTTAGACTGTTCGTCAAATATAGCCTGCTCACCAAGGTTTACTAGTATTGAGATTGTCATTCAGGCGGTTCCGCAATTATCTGCCCATGCTTTATCAAGTGCTCCGTAATATTTGCTCAAATCTCACGCAGCTCGTGCCAATCCATCCAAATTCGTCCAATACTTGGACAATATTAAGAGATGAACAGGGATACGTTCATGGATAACAACCTCGTATCATGTTTTTTATCCCCCAAGATATATACCTCTTAGGGAAAAGATATTCCGAGTAAACATTTGACCAAATATGTACTTATCTTACCGGTACTACATCGCTAGTCTGCAAACAAAATCTCCTGTTTGATACTTTTTATAGATAAATTGTTATGTTTGTTAAGCCGAATACTTTTTTTTCGTCACCCTTTTTTGTTGTGGATATATTTCAAAATAGACGGCAAGAGTGTCAAACGCAAAATTTAATTCGGTTCGAGGGGTTTTCGTACTAAATCAGAAGTCTACAAACAAATCTTTATTATAGCCCTATGTATGTACTATTTCGTCAGTAATAATACTTCTCGCATTATTCTGAGAGAAAATGTAACTTAGAAATAGAGGAATAAAAGTAAAGCATGCACAATAAGCACTCGGCTCCTACTCAAATGCAAGTTTGCAGTAACATACCCCACCTACATCATTTGAAAAACTAAATAAGCATGATTAATGCCTAAACCGGAAAGTGCAATTTCACTAGGTTTTTATGTAGTCAAGGCAGCCATTGAAATAAAAATTCAAACAGCAACAACACCAAAAACACTATTTAATAACCTGCTTCAGATGATGTAGAAATAACTGATTTATCTGATGTCAACTTCAATATCAAGTTGTATAGGCGTATGATAAAGCATGCTGTAATGTGTAATCCTTGGTCAACATCACATTAACATCATAGTGAAATATTAGCTTTGAAACTGTAACAAAAAATATACGTTTAAAAAGTAATAAAGTTACAAGAAATAGCCTTGAGCCTCACGGTTATCTATTATGTTACGTTGTTTTTTGTGTTTTCAATTATCATGTTTTCAATTATCTAATATACCCTGTCATGGTTAATAATGTTCCGACTCCCCTGAGCTAATTGTTTAATTGCATCTAACACATACAGGGGTGTATATTAATAATGAGTGTACTGATGTACCATTGACTAATAAAGACCTGAAATCAAACTGTCATTCACCTTTAATTATTGTGATAAATATGGACATGATTAGTGAATATTTCTTTTCCCAATATTTTTCCCTAAGGCAGGTTACTCGTTTTTGGTTGTAACGTTTCACTTTTCGCATTATTGTAATAGAGGTTAATTTATACTAAAATAAAATAATAAATAGACAAGACAAATGTTTTATCTGGAGAAAATAAGCTGCATTATACCTAGACTCAAATTCCAATGCCATTCCCATCTTCAACACAGACACCCACAGACGAAAACACATATCTAGAATTATGCTGACCTAAAATTTGTCTTTAATTTTCCATTATCTATTTCTGCTTTTACGACACCTTACCCCGACGTCTCACGTGCCAAGCTTTTCACGTTTACTCAGCATTGGATAAACTAATTAGAGCATTGTTCGGGATAAGACACGATTGACGTATAGCAAGGTGAAAGAACAACTCACCATCAAGAAGTACAAAGCCGTGAAAAAGGTCAGAGCGATTGGTCGCATTGTGATACGTTGACATCTACTCTAGATGACGTCATACATGTCTGTTGACCACGTGGTGGTGAGTAGGTTCTACGACACATGCTCCGGCGGTGATTGCTTCGCGGTTAGTTTTGTTTAAAACACTAACCCATTTTCTGAGTTAACCCTGGGTCCTACATTATAATCAACTCAAGTCCTAAACCTAAGCTCACCAAAAATCAAATTGCAACCCTAACCCTGGTTCCTTGACGAAATATAGTACGGAGCCATAAGCGTCGTCGGAGAAAATTTGGGGTAACGCATGTGAAATGGCGATTAGTTAATATCTAGTATAGTTGACGTCATGAATGTATCCTGACAGCATGATTTTGAATATCATCGAGATTAGTTTTGGTTATTTTAAGCTTATTCTATACGGGGACCACGTACCTTTATCTACCATCCCGTAAACCCGTGCGGGCGACTAGCCCATGAGGAAATTTCTGCAATACGTCTGACTATACCATCCTGTACAATGGCAGTAATGAGCATGGTAAAAGTTAGTCATTGTATAGCGCTCATGTCTGGCACATTGCAACTCCTGACCATCTTTATGATTACACTGGCTTTAGCCGATCATGGCTACCATTACACCGCTTAGCATTATAAGGAATTGATTCCTACCAGGTACCCATTAACCTCACCTGGTGGAGTGTGGCAAAGTACTATTGCCGTGCCTTAGTGCTGTGACAGGGATCCGAACCGTCACCCTTTAGTACACATTTTGGAGACTTATCCACTGGACCACAACATATCAGGAAAAGTATTTGCTTAGTAAAACTGATAGTCCACTTGTTGCTGATGTACTAGAAATCCATTGTAACAGTAGACATTCTGATAATGCACACGCTAGAATAATCTGGCTAACCTTTAATTGTGAGTGTGAAGTTGTAAGCAAAGACAAGGGGAGAGTCAATGAGCCTATTATTATGGAAAAGAATCGCCTCCTGGAAGAGATCAATACCCTGAAACACCAGACCCTAACTGGAAGGCTTTCACCCAGGGTATTGAGATCACCTCACATCCTCAACCTCCCATGTCTCTCTAATCCTGATCCCTGATCTGAAAATACAGCTTCGAGGAGCAAAAAATACGGCCTAGATTTGCGAATTCAGTGTTAATTAATCGCGTGCTTTTAAGAATCGCATGTAAGGTGATAATCTATCTATTCAGTAGGAAATCTCCTAATTGGGCGGTACCGAATCTCGGATAGTTGCCCGAGGACCGGGTGAAAAGCTGAGGTAGTTGCTTAAACTGTTTTATATGACCTATGGTGATATAACCTCTAAGTGGAAAGCTAAGTAGTGGATCTTACACATGAAACGTGGTCGAGTAATGAATGCGGTGGAATGAATGGATGAATGACGCAAAAACAAACTGAGTAAAGTCACTAAAGTCACTAAATATTGGATGTACACCAATCTAGCTGATGAAGAGACAGTCAGTTTTAATGATGGTTGGGAATGCGATTATGAAGAAAGAGAGAGAGAGGGAGAGAGAGAGAGAGTGAGGGAGAGAGAGAGAGAGAGAGTGGGGGGCGGGAGAGAGAGATAAAAAGAAAGGAGGAGAGAAATAGACGGAGAATGCCCAATAGGGAAGGGAGAACAACAACAGTGAAATGGCAATAAAAAGAAAATCTGTCAGAGTAATAAAGAAGATAAGCGTAAAAAAACGACATGGGATCAGAGAAAGAACACGACATAAACAGAGATCGGAGATACACACATTCACACACATAGGGAGGCATGGCGAGATAGAGGGAGAGAGAGAGAGAGAGATACAGTGAGAGAGACATACAGACAGACAGACAAGAGATTTAAAAAAAAAAAAATCAGCGATAGAAAGACATATCAAAAGAGAGAAGAAAATGTCTATAAAGAGGATCTCACCGACTGGTAGTCAAGTAAAAAGAGATTTATTCAGACACAAATGAATACGTTGGGGAAAATGAAGGAAGGAGCAAGAGAAAGTCCAAATTGTGTAGGATGGTCTCTACATGAATAATTTCTGCTTCATTATTTGCAATGTAGGCGTATAATGTATGTAGTGTGGTTGTTCATGGTCATCACCATAAACCACAAGTCTAATCGCTTCATCCACGGATGAATGGAAGAAATGAGAACGGAGACAGTTTCACAATGACGTGCTTTTATACCTCAAATTATCCTAATACGTTTATTTTGATGTTATCAAAATAAACCCAATTGTAATAGAATGCAATAGTGTAGGCCGGAAATATGCGGCAAGCCGGTGACTACACACGATAGCGCGCCTCTTTTGTAAAATGATTTTGAGGTCAATAACCGAATGTTTCCCAGCAGGTCGGCAAATATCAAACATAGGCGCATCTCTTTGTAACCTACATTGAGGTCACAAAGCCGAATCTTTACCACGCGTGTTTTGTAAATATCAATGATAGGCGCGCTTTTGTAATACATATCGGGGTCGCAAGGCAAGTGTTTCCCACGACGTGTATTTTTACTAATCAATGGGTCATTCTCAGCTAATACTTCGTTTGAGTTGGTCGTGTTTTATTGGACTCAGAATTATACATGCTAATTGTACACAGGTTGTCGCTGTTGAACTGACTGCACCGGTTAGTTTCTATTATCACTGGGTTTCACACCAATACGCTGGATATTCGGAATTGAACAGAGAGACAGCTACACGGGATATAAGGATTAAACGGTGGAAAAGTTACACTGGATATCTGGAATTAAACAGAGGAAGAGTTACACTGGATAATTGGATCTAAAAAGAGAAAATGTTACACTAGATATTTGGAATTGAACAGAGGAGTAATTGTATTGGATAGCTGGAATTAAATATTGGAGGAAGTTACATCGGAGCTCGGATTGCGGCATAGTCGTCTAACTAGCTCGTCTGTATTGTGTGGACGACAAGATGGGGAAGTCTAAGGCGTCTACGGGACGAAAGGGCAAAGGAAAGCGGAGAGAGCCAGCGCTTCAAAACAGTGACCCGATCAGGGGGACAACGCCAGCTCCACATTCTCGAGTGACGAGACGCGGCTCGAGGAGTAACCCAGCCGCTTCGGCAGGGCGGGAGCGCCAAGGAGACCAGACTCCGACGGGGGGGGGCCAACATCACAGAATCCCTAGAAACGGCGAATCAACCGTCTATTGTCCATCCTCCACCCGGTGAGTTACCTAGCCACAGGCTAGTCTCATCTTCTAATTCCGCAAACATATCATTCCCTAAGGAGATGGGGGAGATGGCGCAGTGAGACATATAAACTTTATGTCCGTTAATAGGTTGGACAAGGTCGGGTTGATTGTAGGCAAAGGAGATAGGGGCCTACATATAAGGTGTGGATATAATTATGGAGAGTTAGTACGATTGCTTACTTTGGTTTCAATAATTTTAACCAGCTCAGTGGGATGTTATTCATTTTCGTATAACCACGCACTTATTTGGGGTTAGTCGTGTTTCGACAAGTGATGTTGTACAATATTTAGTGTGTTAAACAAGTTCGGTACGATACTAGAAATGCAATCGTGTCAGAACGATGTGCGTGCAATGACGCCTTGTTTTTACATGTCAAACGAAAGAGCATCTCTCGGACTAGTTACGCAGAGTATGAAGTAGCATTTAATGTCATGCTTGACCGATTTAAAAAAAAAAAAAAAAAAGTCCGGCTTCTTGATGCTCTGCACTTGGCCACTTAGAATGTGCCTGTAAAATTTCAAGAAAAATAAAGATCGTTCTGGGGTCCAGAAGCGTGAACCCGATTTGCCCCATAGACAATGCGTGTAATGCATGGGCGGAAAACGTACAGGATCTGTATTATGACCGGACTTTAATTGTTTGTTTTTTCTCTCTCTTTATGTCACTTTATCTGACGTATTTGGTATCATGGGAAAGAGAATTTCATGGTTGTTATTGTAAACAATTTTTTTTTGTTCTATGGTAATCCTATCGAAACACGAGATGTAAAATAGATTTATAGGACAAAATTGCGTCTTCAATGACCCCCTTGACCAATTTTAAAAATCCGGCCAAGAGGTGCCCTGCGTATTGCAACTCGGAATGTCACTGCAAAATTTCAAAGAAAAAAAAAAAAGGGACGTTTAAGGGGTGAAAAGCAGTCTGAAAAAATGACGCCATAGCCGATACGTGTTATATTATTGGGCGGAAACTCGGCGGAATTCGTATAATGACCCTTGTTCAAATGTGATTTACTCAAAATTTTCTGTGTGAACATATACCATACTTGGTATCATTCGAAAGGGCACTTCATTGCGGTCAGTTTGACACCGGTGTCATCTGCGCGCAATGTACTGCACGCATTAAAGGCGCTATTACGTAACGCATAGTAAATTCATCATTTTTGGCGATAACTTTGCGCTGACGTATTCGAATTTTACCAAACTTGGCAGACAGTTGTCACGTATATGGATACATGTGTCTGCCAAGTTTCATTGATGTAGGTATAAAGATCGTTATTTTAGAGTAAGTTGAAGTTATTTCGGAATTTTCTCGAAAATGGCGGATTTGGAAGGCAATTTTTCTCAAATTTGGTCAGTGTTAGGGTATATAATTTTGTATATAGCTGGAAAGGAAATAACTTCAAGTATCTAAATCCAAAAAAGGGTACGGGTTTGCCAAGCCATTATGAAGATACGGCCACAAAGAGAAAGCCAATTCCTAAAACTTTAGAGGGCGCTATTTATGTTGTGCAAAGCCATTGGAGCGTGAAATTTGGCACGGCTATGTGCAATTATGAGATAAAGATACTGTGAGATTTAAAAACAAAACGGAATTTATATGAGAAAGTTATGGCAGTTTTAGATTGTTTAGGGGTCCATTTTTCAAGAACTTGAGATTTATTGGAGGAGTCGGTTTTAGATTTGAAATTCGAGTATGAAGATGGCATTGTGAAGGTCAAGTCACCCGTCGCAGATGAAAGGACATCTCTCAGACTATCTAGAGGAATTTGTTAAAAGTTTGTAGGATCTAGGATAGTGGGGATGGGAAGGAAGATATAACGGCCTTAAAATGGACCAGAAACGGACAAAATGGCGCCTGGACGGTCATGCATGGGTGATTTCCAAAATCGAAGAAAGTAGTGACCTTGATGAGATGTTAGAGTCTATGCCTATGAAATTTGAAAGGAAAAAGACATGAGGAAAGCACCTAACTAGGAATCACAAACACTACGTGCAAAACGAATGCGATTCCTGACGATAAGGATAAGGGAAAGGAGAATATTAATGGGGCAGAATGTGAGCGAAAACAAGGCAATGACGAAGGTCGTCATTGCGATAATATGCTATATAGAATTGAATTTGCTTCGCTTATGTAATTATGTTAGACACCTTTGGTTCTATAAGCCCATAAAAGGTACGCCATACTCGGAAGGAATTTGGTTTTTATCTTTCTCCGAATAGGTGCCCAGGCTCACCGGGTTTGGGTGTGCGGAGACATTCTCGTGAGGCGAGCTGGTGAGCGGGCGTTTACCAGAGGCTGTCGAGACCTGGGAATCGCTGGTTGTGAGGTGGCATGGCACGGGCGAGGAGGGGCGTCGCTATACGCGGTTTCCCGCGTCAACAGGGCCAAGTGAGGTTCGGTCTTTCTCCATCGGAGCTAATCATCCATGCGGGCTCGAACGACTTGGGGCGTTATTTTGCAAAGGACTGTCGACAAGCGGTGGATGAAGCACTGAATACAGCGCGGTCATTGTTGCCGCAATGCTACATTTCATTTTCAAGCATCTTACTCGCCTGTATTACTATGGTCATGATGTACACGTCACGTCGCAGGTCGTCATCAATGATGTGCGGAAAGGTGTCAACAAGTATGCCAGACGGAGGGTCCGGCGTATGTGTAGTGGATCATTCATAGGCCACAATTTCAATGTCCAAGAACACTGGTATTTTCACAGAGATGGCGTGCATCTGTCTGATGAGGGATGTGATCTTCTCATGGGGAACTTTGCGTCAGCGGTTCGATTTGCTCTTAATCTTTGAAACTTTATTTTGTGCATGCCCTTTGTTTTATTGCGGGCAATCAGGAGTATATTGAAATTTAAAGAGTAGATTACGATTTAAAATGGTTTATTGACAGGCTGACAAAATGTAGGTCAAGAGGTTGTTTACATTTTTGAGGGAAATTCACGCGCTAGGAAATGTAATACTTTGTATTACATTGGAAGGAAATGTACAAGCGTATGTACGCTTATCAAGCAAGCGCGGAAAATACCGCCAGCAAATTACAAATAGCACGAAGGGGCTTTCATTCTAGTTATGGCTTTCATTTGAATGGACAAGAAGAAAAATGTACGGAGTCTGAAACATTCCCACCACCTCCCCATTATCTCCACCAATAAAAGTATTTTTAGTATATTAGTGGCATAAATTAAATATTGCTTGGTGGTTCGAAGTAGCCAAGGTATACGTATTAGTACGGAAAGGATTTAGGGTTTCAGGTATGAAAGGTACGGATAGGGTTTATGTAATAAATTGGTCAGTGATTTATGAAGTTAATGCAGAGCTGGGGGCATTTGGCCTGGTCGCACATCAAGCGTCGTGCACAAAGACAGTGGGCCGTAGGGGAATTTTCCCATTGGGTTTCGCCCCTACCCGGTTTTGTATGGGTAAATCACTAATCACATGGTACTGATAAGTTTATTGATCAATAATTGTCATCCAATAATTTTCGACCCCATTCAATTTTTACATGCGAGGGGGTTGCCAATGTATATTCAGTCGAATTTGTTCGCATGTCAATTCTTAGTTTTCCGGCCCCCATTCGATTTGAATGCGGGGGGACCTAGTTGTACCTACACATTTTCAAACTCAGGGTGTCACGCTTTAATCTTAGGCATCATCCGATCTTACAGGCGGAGAGGCTGGTATATATATACATCTATTTTCTATAACTTTAGGCATCACTCGATTTTATAGGCGGGGGGCTGATATAATGACTTAATGTATATAAGTTTAGCCTTGGCATCACTCGATTTCATAGACGGGGGGCCTAGCATTTGTAAGCGTTTTTTATGATTCAATTATATCTGTGTTATTTTGTTATGACACCCAGAAAATCAAAATGTGCAAAATAAGCGTCCCATCTCAAAATGTTAATAAAGCCACAAAAATAACGCAAAGTTGATTGTTTGTTATTTTTGTTAGCCGTGCATAAATTTTGCCACATGCCCAGGTTCTATTTCGCTAGGCAAAAAAAAAAAAAAAAAAAAAAAAAAAATTGGGTTGTTGGGATTTGGAGTTTGTTCTTTTGTTTCGTTCCTGAACTATAATCATTTCCAGTATGCCTCAAGGAGAGGAATGGCCAAGAGCGCCATGAACCGACGGTGGGGACAGGCTGCGATTACCAGATCTTGTGTAGGGAACCAATGGCCCAGGAAACTGGGCCTGCTGGGTAGAGCACCGTCTTCCCAGCTGGTCACGTGACCCGTGACCCTCGGGTTCCCATATTTGTGGAATCGCAGTCTGTCGCCTTCCGCCATTGCAAACAAATAATTATGGAAATGGTTTTATATGATTTCATATCTATGTTATGTAATAATATGTCAAGTTGGAAATATGCTACCGCAAAAACTCGAACGGAAATATGTAAATGGTTTTTGTATGATTTTATATCTATGTTAATAGTATGTCAAGTTGGAAATATGCTACCGCTAAAACTCGAACGGAATTATAGAAATGTTTCTATATGATTTCTTATCTATGTTGATAATATGTCAAGTTGGAAATAAGCCAACTCAAACGGAAGAATTAAAAGTTGAGAAAAAGGCAATAACAGCATTTTCATTGTATTTCTTATTGCAATACGTTTATTTTGATGTTATCAAAATAAACCCAATTGTAATAGAATGCAATAGTGTAGGCCGGAAATATGCGGCAAGCCGGTGACTACACACGATAGCGCGCCTCTTTTGTAAAATGATTTTGAGGTCAATAACCGAATGTTTCCCAGCAGGTCGGCAAATATCAAACATAGGCGCATCTCTTTGTAACCTACATTGAGGTCACAAAGCCGAATCTTTACCACGCGTGTTTTGTAAATATCAATGATAGGCGCGCTTTTGTAATACATATCGGGGTCGCAAGGCAAGTGTTTCCCACGACGTGTATTTTTACTAATCAATGGGTCATTCTCAGCTAATACTTCGTTTGAGTTGGTCGTGTTTTTCCCTCCCTCCCTCCCCTCAATTCCTTGCTGACTTGTGGACGGGCAGGATTAGGCTCATGATTATTGGGTAGGAGGTTGTCAGGGGGAGGGGGCGGTCCTTTATTGGGAAGGTGTATATAGGGAGACCGGAGTGGTACTTGCCCGGACTGGTAGTTCTGCGTATGTCATTGCCTTAGAGTTTGGGCTTGAATAAGTGACACGATGGGGCTGTAGTAGTGGACAAGGTTGATGGTTAATTGGGCTTGTTTTATGATATTGACATCATGTTTGTTTGTTTGTTGTTTTTTTGTTGTTGTTGTTTTTTGTTTTTTTTTTTTCCTTCGGTTTCTACATCAGATTTGCTAGGTTGCTTTTTGTTGTTTTGTTTTTCTTTTTTTTGGGGGGGATTGTCAAATTGATTATGTTTCATTATTGTTCTTTTAATGGTACACAATCTGTTAATCACTGTGTGATTTTGTTCTTTTAAGGCTACAACATTCATGGAAATCAATGCAGATTGTGGAAAGAAAAAAAAAAAAAAAAAAAAAGAAAGAAAGAAATTGGGCTTGTTGTATTGACATGGTTGGTTGGTTGGGCTTGATTATTGACATGGATGGTTGGTTGGGCTTGTTATTGACTTGGATGGTTGGTTGGGCTTGCTTATTGACATGGATGGTTGGTTGGGCTTGCTTATTGACATGGATGGTTGGTTGGGCTTGCTTATTGACATGGATGGTTGGTTGGGCTTGATTGTTGACATGGTTGGTTGGTTGGGCTTGTTATTGACATGGATGGTTGGTTGGGCTTGCTTATTGACATGGATGGTTGGTTGGGCTTGCTTATTGACATGGATGGTTGGTTGGGCTCGTTTATTGACATGGATGGTTTGTTGGGCTTGATTATGTGATGGTTGGTTGGACTACATTATTGACAGGGTCGGCCGGTTTTGGCTTATTGGCTGGAGCTTCTGTTCCGGAAGTCTTAGTATTCCGGAATGAGAGGGTTTTGTTCTTTTGTTTCGTTCCTGAACTATAATCATTTCCAGTATGCCTCAAGGAGAGGAATGGCCAAGAGCGCCATGAACCGACGGTGGGGACAGGCTGCGATTACCAGATCTTGTGTAGGGAACCAATGGCCCAGGAAACTGGGCCTGCTGGGTAGAGCACCGTCTTCCCAGCTGGTCACGTGACCCGTGACCCTCGGGTTCCCATATTTGTGGAATCGCAGTCTGTCGCCTTCCGCCATTGCAAACAAATAATTATGGAAATGGTTTTATATGATTTCATATCTATGTTATGTAATAATATGTCAAGTTGGAAATATGCTACCGCAAAAACTCGAACGGAAATATGTAAATGGTTTTTGTATGATTTTATATCTATGTTAATAGTATGTCAAGTTGGAAATATGCTACCGCTAAAACTCGAACGGAATTATAGAAATGTTTCTATATGATTTCTTATCTATGTTGATAATATGTCAAGTTGGAAATAAGCCAACTCAAACGGAAGAATTAAAAGTTGAGAAAAAGGCAATAACAGCATTTTCATTGTATTTCTTATTGCAATTGAAATTAGAGTCACGAGACGGTGATAGTTCAGGTCAAAATATTGCACACGAGCTGTAAATATTTGTTACATAGGCATTATTGTACATAGAGAAAGGTAAAAGTGAAATAATATTGTCCATTACTTGAAAAAGAGCAATGTTCGTGATGTTAAATGTAATGTTTTAAGACACTTTTGAAGTCACAAACCACCTATGTTAATTCATTAACGAAAAGAAGATAAAGTTCAAACTATTATTGCCCATTAATAAATATTAAAAAAATGATATTACAGTGGTTGAAATTACATATAGATTGTGATTATTGTACAATGTTTTGATCATGATTAAGGTCTACATTAAGCCAATCCTTAGTTGCTCGTACATGTACAGATAATGAACAAGCTTTTAAAACAAGACACGTTTACATTTTAGTTAGTTCATTGAGTAGACTTTGAACAGGTTGAAGGAAAGAGCCATGGTAACTTGCATTTACTATCGGACAAGAGAACGTCATTAGTTTAATCGAACTCAAATCATTTTCTCCGATATTAAACCCAGCCCAGTCATCCCCGTCGCTTTTCAACCATGCTACCTCAAAACATCTTCATCCTTTATTTCCTGGGAGAACATAAGTGTTTTGAGATATCTCAATCGGAAACTGAGAAACACATATCACGGAGAAAAGAAGAACACCGATATACGGACGGGAGGCTGCGCCGGCGGGCTTCGACTGAATCCGGCGCGGTCCGCGACTGAACAAACACTCACTCGCAGTCATGAGATCCCCTCTAATTGTGTTTTCTATCCGACATCTTTTAAACAAAACACTTGCATTCCGGATAAGTAAGGCGGGCCATATTTGCAGTAAAAGTGAGTCC